GAACTTGTAATTTCAATTCTTTCAACTGGAGTGATCTAAAATGCAGTAATTAATCAAGTTGTAGTATATTACTGCTTGGCCTGTATGCCCATAATCATCAGGTGACCATGCTAACTGCCAGCGAGAAAGCAGGGCCTATTGTTCCTCCAGCTCTAACCCATTTCACACTCTCGTGGGGGTGGGACAAGACCTAAATAAAATGTTGACATCACTGTTTTGGGTAGCCTTTCTGTCTCCTTTTGCATGCATCTCTCCTACCTACAGCCACTCTCCTTAGGCCTTACGTGTTCTCCTATCTCCATAAGCCTCCAGTTATACCAGTACCAGGCTTGTCCCCACAGGAGCCATGCCACACAGTTTTCTGCCCTCCTATCTTCGTAGCCAAATGCCTATTCCTTTAGACTACCTGGTTTGGCAGACATGCATCCCTGAGAGACAGGGGACCAGGCTTTATTCATCTTTCTTTGGCCCTGAATTTAGTGGCTGACACATACAGAGTACGTGTAAACATTTGAAATGAATTGAAGCAATTTAACAAACTGGCATTGACACAAATATCAGTCCATTATCTCTTCTAGGTATTTGCCTGTGTAAAAGAGGGTGCTCACAACCCTGTAAAAATCTCAGTTGTTGGAATTTATGCTTAAATAATTAGTTGAAGTTAAAGAATTTAGGGTAGAGATTTGGAAGGAGAGATCCTCTCAAGAATGTAGGGAATCTGGGGCTCAGCTCCTAAAATTTATATTTTTAACAACTTTTCTTCTATTTCTGAACTTGCAGAATCTCTAAAGCTTCAGCCTTTCGTTCTAGTGGCAAAAGAAATTCTACTTGGGGAAAAGAAAAGATTGGAGAGACGTCTGTATTTAGACAATTAATAGGCCTGAAAGTAGGGACTAAATTCCCTTAATATCAACATGGGGATAATGATTTTATAAAAATATTCAATTAGGTTTGATGTTTATTTCCTACATTTTATTCTATATGTTTATTAGGCTTACATCTGTTTTTTTTAATGGGCAGGAATCTTGCTGGTATAAAACCAAAGGTTTTCATTTTCACTTTATTCTGATCCCATAACATTTGTCCCCTCTCCAATTGGCCTGTTATGTGAGATAATACTGTAGCACCTTGTGTGTCAGGGTATCTGGAACTTGGTGGAAAACAAGTAATTAAAAAAACCCTTTGAGCTGCCAAAAGAAGCCTCAGGAAGACCAGAATAACACATTTGGAAGCATGAAAGACATGGAAAATCTCATGGTTTGTCTTCTTCCTGTGTGTGGTAATGGTCATTCCACCCAAAGATACAGAAGGGCCAGAACTTCAAAACAAAACAAGGTAGATAAGTTATGATTATGTTGATATGAGATCTGTATATGTTCTTTGATTTTCAACTTAAGAATTCTAAATTTAATGTTTACAATAGTTTGTGAAAGACATAAAAGATCATTTTGAAAGAGGGTGTTTTTCTGTCCTCCTTAAATTTAGGTCCATAAAAATATATTACCCCAGAGGAATTACACATGCACGCACACACACAGACACACAATTTGTTTTTCTTGTTATTTCCACAGGAAGGCACGGAAGCTGAAAAGAAAGCTATCTCTCTTCTTTCTAAGTTACGGAATGAATTGCAAACAGATAAACCATTTATCCCCTTGGTTGAGAAATTTGTTGATACTGACATATGGAATCAGTACCTAGAATATCATCAGAGTCTTTTAAATGAAAGTGATGAAAAACCAAGGTGGTTCTACTCACCATGGTTGTTTGTAGAATGCTACATGTATCGTAGAATTCATGAAGCAATTATCCAGAGGTACGTATATAACCATCAACTAGTAAATGTTTAGATACTTTGTACATTTTTTGAAATTATAAAAGGATAAGGTTAAAAAGTAGCACCAGTAGAAACCTGATTTAGTTGAGTTCAGCAAATATTAATGGCATTGTTAGACACTTCTGCATATGTTACCAATTTAATAGATTCTTGGCAGTTGTAATCCACTTGCCTTGAATAGACATAAGATTAAATATCTGAAGCATGAACTAACTAAAGATTCTTATAAAGACTTCTAGAGTAAAAAAAATTGTACTTATTGAGCAAAAAATAATTTGTTTTTTTTTTAGTTTTTATTTCAGCATATTACGGGGGTACAGATGATTAGGTTATGTATGATGCCCTTGCCCCCTCTCCCCCAAGTCCGAGCTTCAAGTGTGTCCATCCCTGGGATGGTGCGCATTGCACTCTTTGTGTATGCATATACCCGTCCCCTGATCTCCCCTCCCCGCCAGCCCGACATCTAATATATGTTATTCTTATATGTGCACTTATGTGTTGATCAGTTAATACCACTTTGATGGTGAGTACATGTGGTGCTTGTCTTTCTACTCTTGGGATATTTCACTTAGTAGAATGCGTTCCAGCTCTATCCAAGAGTATACAAGAGGTGCTATATCACCATTGTTTCTTTAAGCTGAATAGTACTCCATGGTATACATGTACCACATTTTATTAATCCACTCATTATTGATGGACAC